TTTTCTTCTTCTTACACCTCACATCACCCACCAGCTTCACGATACCATGACATCTCCGGGTGCGGTCAAACCGCACACGAAGGATGAGTTGTCCGTTCTACTGTAAGGGCTGTTTTGAGTATCATGCTGACAACGGGTGCAGACACGAGATTCTCAAATTTGGATCACCGAGAACGAACCCATCCCCAAGTCATACACCTTCTGTGTCCACTGCATAATCCTCAAGATGTGCGCTCCTAGTCTCGAGAGCACCTTTTGCTTCCCTGGCATCGAGTCTGTCAAGCTCAACAAAATCTCGATCCGAGGCTTCGATATATTCCTTGCATGGCTCAGACACGACTGCCATGAACACCGAGAGCAGCCGAGTTTTCGGTGGGCCGAGATCAAAAGTCAAGTCAGTGTTTTCTCACTGATGGGCTACCCGGGATCGGAATACTTCGATCCTGACCATCCTCTCATGTGGAATGAGGGCAGGGATGGCACGGCGGAGTATGCGGAGGCGGCAGTCGAGATGTACATCTTCGCTAGTGCATACCAAATTCCGCGACTTCGACAAGATGCAATGGACCGCCTCGTCTGGTGTCATAATCACTTCGCGACTGAGCAATCCGATCAGTACAGCACCAATTATGTATCTCCGCAAATTCTCGTCTCGGCATGTCAGAACACACGACCTGGCAGCCCACTCCGCGAGCTTCTACTCGAAGGATTCTATGAGTTTAGCGATCGCGCAGACGACACCTTTAAGGCTATATTCAAGAACGTTCTTGTCGATGTTTCACGTATGATAAGTGACCACAGAGGATCTATCTACGGATACTGGAAGCCTTGCGACTATCATGAGCATGAGGATCAAGAGGAGCGGGAGAGATGCAAAGTACGGGTGGACATGGAATGGGAACGTGAAGAGGACGAAATGTACTAGGTTACGTCGTGGCCACGTTCAACGAGCTGAATATGGAGGCTTCCGAACTTTACTACCTATGCGCTGAGGGTCAGCACATCTGCAGAACCAAACTACAACTGAGCTCCGAAAAAGGCGTTCATAGGCCTTTTGATCTTGACAGTCTTACTGATGGATTCTTCCTTTTTCAATCCGGCTTCTACAGTGATTGAATCTCGTTTACCCTCGTATTACGGAGTTCAGATCTTCCTCACTTTACTTTGAACCCAGAATGACACCTTTCCGATGAAAAACTTCAAAAAGTCTACTCCCTACCCGATCACTGTATGATCAAAGCTCTCCACACTCCTACTCAGATCAACTTCTCTTACCTTCTCCCGTTTTCCTGACTTACAGCTCTCTTACCCTGCTTTCAGTCTAAGCACTCGCCACTACATGTCAATTTTGCCGCCACTTTCCTCGACCGTCTACATCCCTTCAACCTTCCACCCAAACACTTCAACATCCCACCAGATCAAATCAAGATGACTGAGGAGACCTCACGTCGAGTATATACTGAAGAGGAGAAGTAAGTGTCATTAGCCAAGAGAGCGCAGATACAGAATTAACACGAGTGAAGGACCGAGACTGTCAACATTGGATCGTCGAGCCTACTGCTCGAAAAACTTTCAGCATCGTGCGCCTCCTCCTCCCTAATTTCGCGCCCACTCTCGCCAACGTCTTCAAGCACCGAGACATCACCCTAATTCGACTTAACGATGTGTCCATCCAAACGTTCGACATCTTCACGAGCTGGCTGCTCATGGAGATTGACAACAGTTTGATCAAAGAGATAGGACCATGGAAACGCTCGGAAAATCCCGCTTGGCTCAATGGGCCCGATTGTGGTTCGGAATGGTACTGGGCCGAAGGTGGTCCACTTATGTGGGATGATTTCGAGTCGCCAGTGTGGGAATACGGTGAGGCCGCGGTACTTATGTACATCTTCGCCGAAGCGTACGGGATTAGTCGATTGCAGCTTGACGCTATCGATCGGTTGGTATGGTGCCACTACACGGCCAAGGACGACAAGGACAACGAATCCGTGGAGGAGATGGGCGCGCCAACCTACCTAAATATTCCAACGATTCAGATTGCGTACGAGAACACCAAGCGCAGCAGCAAGCTTCGAGAGCTTCTTGTCTCTGGCTACATCGAATTCGGCGACAAGAGCGACGATACTCTGAGCGAATTGCCGAAGCAGTTCCTAGTAGACATTCTCGGCAGGATCAACCTCAACAAGAACATGAACTGGGCGGTAACGGACGAGTGCTACTACCATGGCCATACAAATGAGGAAGAATTGGACAAGTGTGTGGTGAGGGTTGCCATGAATGGGAGGCGGGACTATGAGTAGACCTTGCGTGGTTCTTCACTCAATCTATGTGGCGATGCACATATGAATGCGTCTGAGATGGACTGCAGGAATGCTCATTGAGTCGATAAACATATATCTTCATAGTCTGCTGGTCACTTAACTTAGCTGAATGACACTGAGCCGAAGGTTAACGTTCTTCTCTCACTCACGGTTTGCCCTCATTTGATGCTCCCTCTCTCACCTAGATCGCGTTTGACCAGTAATTTGCGAGCCAGGGGCTTATATATACTCCCTGCCATTCGTTTCTGTATCCCTTCTTCCCAACCCCCCTACAGTACTATCTGTAATTCGAAGCACCTGCAACATGTCGCAACCAAGCGTCGATGAGGTCGAACCTCTCCCGTAGGTCCCGCAGTCTCTATTTCTCAACCCCCACTAACTCAGGCGGATCTCTTGTAGCCTGGAATCCGTCGAAATCGAACTCATCTACGACAATGAGCAGGAGACTTACCTCATGTTTCGTGAACTCCTAATCGAATTCGGCGGCGGTTTCGGCAAGCACTTTAGGCATGGAGGCATCACGTAACTCAAGATCCGCGACGTGTCTCCCCGGACCTTCGAGATCTTCTTGGGCTGGCTGAGGCAAGAGTATGCACGGCGGTATCCTTCAGGGAACGGGCCAAATTGGAGCCGGGTGACGGATGCATACATCCACTACTACGATATGCAAGGCGAATACCTATGGTCGCTAGTGGAGGAGTTTGACAAGTGCAAATTCGTCGAAGCCATCGTTCACCTCTACCTATTTGCAAAGTCTTACGATATCCCCCACCTTCGTCAAGATGCTATCGATAGACTCGCCTGGTATGTCAGCCACGGCATACAGATACACGACGATCAGTTCATATACGTCTGTACTATCACCGAGGCCTACAATCAGACGAAGCCTGGAAGCCCGCTCCGGAAACTTCTGGGTATCTCATTCGCCTTGCACAACTACAAAGACCGGGTACCTATGATACACATGCCAAAGCAGTACTTGGTAGATGTGTGAGGTTACCCCGACTACATCCAGAAAGATGCAAAGGCTGGAGTCGAGTTGGACGCATGTGAATTCCATGGGCATGGCGAAGTCGGCAGGAGGGGATGTGAGACGAGGGTGAAGATGGACAGGCAGTTAGACGGGCAGTGAACTTGACTGCATCACACCTTTCAGTGAGCAAGTACTGTGCATATCTTATACTGCTACGGATACACTGTATTGGGAGGTAGGACAATAAATGACTTTATCAATTAAGAGCTCGTTGAGTGCAGCCATTTGACACACCCAAGACGAGAGAGAAGGAAGTGAAGAACGTAGGCTCAACAGCACGAGATTGGAACGTGTAAGCATGCAATGAAGAACGAAAAGTCTACTTGATAGTGCAAGTGCCCTGATATATTATGTTGCATTAGACCAATGAGAGCTACACGTCGATTATTTTCTCCTTTGTTTATCGCTTCGATGTGCGTGTAAAGCTGGATGGGAAAACACTGTCTAGTGTCTAAGCGGTGGGAGTAGAAGTAGCCGACGCAACAACTGAGCTTGCAACCGAAGGAGTAGGCACGGATGAAGCGGAAGCGGAGGCAGATGGGGTAGCAGAGACCTATTGCACATTAGCCATGTTCACTGCCAGCCATGCACACATGACACATCCATCATATAGAATGGTACATACCGAAACGCTCACACTAGTCGTAGCAACCGCCGGATAACACGCACAAAACACCTTCTGCCTCGCCTCGGGCATGCCACCCAGAATCCTCACAACGCGCTCATTATCCGCCGTGAACCTCTTCGCGTTTGTCTTGGGCTTGTCGGCCACAGGCGCCACAGCCTCAGCAGTAGTTGGGTGCCTGTTGGCGCAGAAGATCTGCGCACCCTCGAGGATGGACAGAGGCTTCAGGAACTCGCACTCGTCGACGGGAGCGGCGAGAGCGGTGATGGCGAAGGCCAAGGGGGCGATGAGGGAGAAACGCATATTGGTTGATTGATTGGTTTGGTTTGGTTGGGTAACGACCGTAATATTATGATGGATGTAAATTGGAAATATAACGAACGACTTAATCAACAGCAACGAACAAGTGAAGTTCAAGAGAAGAACAACACAAGCTCACCTCTTGTACAAGAAGAAAAGGCTTGTCTCCCCTTTAACGCGTCATGCCAATACGCTACACTCCCACCCTGACACGCGCCGCTCAACACGTCGTAATTCCACTCTTCCGGCGTTTCCTCACGTCAGGTCTCTTCTTGTCCAATGAGAACAACGCGCCGTGGCTACGGTCCGCCGCATCCAGCGAAGCAAGCTCCGCTAAGCGATGGCTGGGCTGAACTGGAGCTGAGCTTATGCTGTTAAGCTTCTCTAGCGCGGTGAAGGACTGACAGTGGGCGCGAGCGGGCCAGGATGGTTCCTGGCCGTAAGCTATTTCGGGTGCGGCTAGCGAGAGCTGGACCCGGGGACGATGGGTCTGGTGGCGTTAGGCTGAGGACTCCTTTTATTGGTGTCGGGATCTGCGGCATGGAATACGAACATCATTGAACCGAATTTGTTGCTGCAGAGGTTTTATTGATGTTGTGGATGGGGATGTGGTGGTGGTGGTGGTGGTCGCCAAGACACCAAAAATTCTATCTCCCGTCACACCACCACCACCATCACCAAAAGTCATCTCCAACAGCCCTGAAGAACGGCAAAAGGATATTGATGAGAGTGGGACTCGAACCCACGCAACTTTCGTTACTAGCACCTGAAGCTAGCGCCTTAACCGCTTTGAGTATGTTAGAATTGGATGGATGATGAAGGAGTGGGTTGAGCTTACCTCGGCCATCTCACCGGATGATTTAACAAATTGCTGACTTGAAAAATTTATACTGCAATTGTGCAAAGCGACACCATAGGACAAGCACAATCGAAGAGAAAATGTAGGCGTTGAGTAATATTGGGTGTTGGAGTGGAGCAGTGAGGGGTAGCTATGGCAAGATTTGCTGGGTAAGTGAGCCGTAGCTCTGCGTCTGGACTTCTGATGTGTCACATGTACTCTAGTGTACCCTCCCAGCAACCAGGAATCTCATTTGGTTTTAGGGTTAGCAACTCAAATGTTCTCCTTTGAACAGTCACATCGCGAAATGCAGCCTCATCGGCGACAGTGATGTACTAAACACGAATGCACATTCATATGCCAAGGGGTGACACAGGCGAAGACAGGTGTATATCACACCATATGCAATTGATATATCCAAAGCCCCGTCTATATGCAAGTATATCGTCCACATATACAAAGTTTTCTACCCTCAAATTACACCACCATATCTACACTCATCTCCAACTTTCTGATGTCATATACATCGCCGCCTACAAAGCAATGGCGAACAATCCCAGGAGCGCTGCAGCAGCGCCAATCTCCATCCTGCCCGCTGCGCCAGTGAACTGAGCGTTTCCACCTGTCGCAGTGCCGCTCGCGCCGCCAGCACCTCCAGCAGTGGCGGTAGGGCTGAGGGTGATACCGGTGACGGCGGGAACGGTCGAGTTGCCCGATGGCTTGACAATGATGCTGCCAGAGGCGGTTGCCTTGCTGCCGGATGCGGTGGAGGTAGCGGATACTGAACCGGAGGACTTGGAGACGTCGGTTGCTGGAAGTGATGGGTTAGCAATTGCTTCGTGCAATAGCACATAGGTGCTCATATCCGTGTTTCCCAATGTCTCCTCGATTGCAATCAATGTCCGAAGTGGACAGCGTAGCGCAACTCTTTGGCAGAGGGTTGCATCGGCTTGTGAAGACCAGACGATTGTATCAGCTATCAAGACACTACATCTCGAAGAGCGAGATGCATGCCCTCATCACTGTCCAAATCATCGCCACATCATCCACTTCCCCTTCAAACTCCCCATCCGCCCCCCTCCCTCCCATAAAACAAAAAACCCGCAATACTTACAAACCTTAACCCCCTTCTCCAAACAAATCTCCGCCAGCGCACTCAACGCATCCTTACTCGCATCCCCACAAAACTTCGCCACAGTCTTGGCCACATCCTTCTCGCTGCACACAGCCTTGACGTCCGCAGGGTCAGAGTAGCTGTTGACGGCCCCGAGGAGGCAGCCCGGCGGGGGCGCGGCGACGCTGAAGGAGAAGAGCGCGACGAAGGCGGTCGTGAAGAGGGTTTGGGCGAGCATTGTTGATGTGGGTTGGAAGGACGGTATTGGGAGGGGATTATGGGGATTAAGGGGATGGGATAAGGAGTGTGGTGTGTGGGTGGGAGTCTAATGAGTGACTGTGTTAAAAGGACGTAAAGACAGGAAGACAGCAAGAGCTGGCTAGAAGATGCGTGGGTGGAAGAGCAAAGGTAAGTCGAGCTTCCGTCAGGAGACACTTCGGATGGGCAAGATTCGCCAAGCAAGCGACCCACTATAACAGACCCAATGGAGCCGCGCTAACATATGCTAGTCAGGAACACACTTCCGTTCCTGCGTCGCTTCCGTGCATCTGTGCTGCAAAGCACACAAACGCAAGTCATCCGTCTTCGCGTGCACGCACAGCAACATGTTAACATTTCTCGAGAAGCAATTTCAGCATGTTCAAGCTGCGTAGTCCTATCTGTACACATCTCTAGAGAGCAATATATTACAAACAAGATCAGTAACCGCAGCACACCCGCACGCAAGCGGAGCGCCCCCCAAAGAAACGAGTGGAATGCAGAAAAAAAGGTAGTAGCGCATTACAAAAATATACTGGCAAGCCGCCCAAATAAAAAGCCCGTAATGCACTCTTCACCCTTCATCGTTGCAGGTATGCAAGAAAAACAGACCGACTCCCAGAACAAGGCGCAGAGTCCCGCTGAACCCCTGTGCTGAGATCCTAGTCCACCCAATATGCAAAAACGGCCTCCGCAGATTGTTGTTTTCCAGAAAGAACAATGGCAAGGCCAGATCAAACAGCCTGTGTGATGAGCGGTGGGCGTCGAGGATATCTACGCCGCAAAACTCCAACGCTAGTATGTTACAATGCAAAAGCAAAAGGGAAAACGGTAGAGGAAACGGGAGGGGAGGCGTGAGTGATGTTGTAGGTCGGATCGTCGTGAATAGGGCATGAGGTTTGATCGGGATCAGGATGTATGTACTTGGATGTTGGCGTTACCGTTGGGTCCCAACATTGATGGGATGGGCTTGCGGCGCGCCTTTGCCATTGGGATGCGTGGAACACCCTGGATGACACGAGGTTCTTTCATGAGCGTTGGGTCGAGCTTTGCAGGAATGCGGCTAATAACTGCACGGTAGTCGCCCGGGAAGCGTGAGCTGGGAGGGTTGGCGGATGCCGTGCGCCAGAGGTGATCGGTTGTGTCGGACAAAAAGTCAACCTTCGACTTATAGAAGAATGATGATTTGCCGCGGTTCCGTTTTGCCAGGATGACTTCGTCGAAAAGCTTAATGGTAGGGTCGTCCGCGCGCTTACTCTCGCGTTCGTGGATGAATTCATTGAAACCTTGTTGAGGTTAGCAACTACCATGAAAGTAGTAGTCATGTATTACACACCTTGTGTCTGCTGTAGAGTAGCTAGGTACTGCACATTCTCGCTTGGCTGGCTTTTCACAAACTCGTCCATCTTGAACTGGTACACCATGCCAGCCTTTTTCCGGTCACCAGTCGCAGGGACCAGGAAGCGCCGATATGTATATAGAAGACTGGCGAAACATCGAACGAAGGATGCACGGACTTGATCAGGTCGGAAAGCTGTAGGGCAAACAATACAGATAGACTCGAGACATCTGCCATGAGCAAATGTGGTACAGCCTATAGAATATTAGATGTGCGTCGCAATGGGATAATGTCAGACTTACCAGTGCAACGATAGAGCCCTTCGTCCGCCTTCTCATCACATATCGAGCACACAGCTTTCTCTTCATGAGGTCTCCACGTCATGCAATGCCCTTCTGCCCACTGCGTCGTTGCTGTATTGCGGACAGGCTGCATAGCCATGCCAGGCATGATTGTGGAGGCTGCTAGTGTCGACTGAGCATACACAGAGGGCGCGTACGATGATCCAGCATGGTATTCGTGGCTCAGCGACGATGTCGACGCGCTCGAAGTGTGTCCGAGAAAAGGCTGACTGGGCCTTCGCATCGTCGGCATCCGTTCAAACCCAAACGAGGAACTTCTGCGCGAAGAAGTCTCAAAATGTCCAGACCGCTTCTCACGAAGTTGCTGAACCTGCAGGGCATACCCCGAGTCGCTACGAGAGATTGGGGTGCTAGGCATTGGCGGGAACACCGTCGATACCGGAGATATCTTGGGCGAGGGTGGTGAACCATAGGTCTTCATTGTGGCGGCTGTGGTTGGCCTGTCATTGCCGCGACTGGAAGCACTCGATTGTAGGAATGCATTGTGGATTAATGGCTTTGAGCTCGGTGGACCACCCATGCTGCCAAAGGATGTCGAGTTGAGACCCACGTAGGTTTGAATCGTGGAAGGATAAGCTTTGTGAGAAAAGACGTTTGGGTTCTCGGAGCTGAACGTGTCGTAGGGGTAAGCTTCCACAGCATATGCAGGAGGCCCAGTAGGCACCCCGAAACGCGTGTGGTGAGGAGCCGAGTGTTGAAGAAGAGCCATCAGTTTTCGGCGCTGTTGTCGTGGCAATGCCGGAGGGGGTGGGCCATTCGAGACAATCGAGTCACTGTCCAAGTCGATGAGCACGTATTCGTCCTCGGGATAATCGGCGGGCTCATAACGACGTTCGATTCCAACGATATATGGACAAGGCGCTTCAATGGTCTGGACAAGCCGAGCTGGCAGAATCGGGATGAAGACACCAGCCCACTGGAAGGGGTAGATCAAGTTCACAATGGCCATGCTTGCAAGGTGGAGCATTGCTGTATGAGAGGAGAGAAGAATGATCCTAGATTCTGCGAGCACAAACTCAAAGAGTGTGACGATGTTGGGAATTGATAAGCATCTGAAGAGGGCGTAAATGTCAATGTTACGGGATCCAGGTATCTCGTTGACTGCTTCTTTCCGAGCGTACATGCGAAGTTCGCGAACGGCCAGCTCAACCTGAGTTATGGAGGTGATGGGACTGAGAGCCTCGGCACATAGGTTGACCACATACCGCTCCAGGGGTTGCCACATGCCAATGCGTGGTGAGCTTGCGGGAACCCGTAGAATGGCGCCGTTCGTCATCGGTACGGCAACAGCCTTTAGCCATTCTTTCCAGAAGGGCGTCAGACTGGCATCTCGCCCCATTACACCATATGCGCGCGGGATCCAGAGGCCAGTCTCCCCGTCGGTCAGCCCCTCAATTTTGGAGGCCGCCCCATGCCGTACGGGACGGAGGAGGTCGGTCATAAGTTGTATCTTCTCTTCAACCGCTCCTATCTGGTCCTCCAGGTTCTCGCGCTCCTCCGACTCGGGTACGACTGTTGGAAGTTGGGTGAGAAGTTGGGACAGCTTGGCACGTTCCAACGCAAGACGCTCTCCCAGACTACTTGCCAACTCCCGCTCTTCGGGGTTCATGTGCAGTCTCCGCCATTCCTCGCATTGGCGCTCGAGCCCCTCTGCGGCAGTGGAGTTCAAGGGTAGCCAAACAATGACGCAAATTCCGTAAAGCTTGTTGTTGTCGCCGCCGGTCATGGCGAATCCGTGCCACTGGGTCTTTGGTCGCTCGTCCGACGACACCACACTGACATCGTTTGGGAATGCGAACATGGGGACGTAATCGGGGAACGGATTGCGCCGTTTCAGCTCCGACACCATGTCCTTTGGCGGGTAGCGGTCCAGGAGGACGGGCTCGTATCGG